AAAAAACATTTGCGTGTGTGTATAAAACTTCACAGATTATATTGTTACTAGACAACTTGGCAGTGATTATATATATGTGTGTCACATTAAGATCCTTCATGCCAAAGATGAGAATCAAAGCATGATTCACAATGTTTTAAATGGCATAGAGGTTGGGTCGATTGCCCCCAACCCCAACCCACCCCTAAAATAAAAATAAATAAATAAATAAAACTGAGTTTGACATAGCAAATTATACCCATGAAGTTACATCTGCCTCACATTTTTGCATCAGTCGTTAAATGAGCTAATGTAAAATGGTGATGTTACTGAACATTATTACATTACATCCTCACAATACTAAGAATAACCCCTACTTATGCTTACATCCCTTTCGTTTAGTAAGTAATTGCAAGGTAGTCAAACGACAAAGTGGTGATTTCAACATCTTTCTTCATCCTTCATCCCGATGAGCGCGTGCGTGTGGTGGCCAGTCATACCGCTCTACAGGAGATCTTAGATTTCTCCCAGACAGTGGCGGAGATTTCACCCTTCACGTGGGAGCGGGTCGGGATCAAGGAGAGGCTCGACCGTGCTTTAGTCTCTGAGGCATGGACGAGGGTGTTTGTGGTCACGACCGCACACACCTCCCTCGAATTGAATCTGACCACGCTACCTTTCTTACGGTGTCGATTTTCAAGCACCACCCGTCGCTCCTCTTTTCGGTTCCAGAACATGTGGATCCGCCACGACTCGTTCCATGACGCGGTTAGGACTTCCTGGCAGCATCCGATGGGATTCTTTGGAATGCGCAACTTGGAGGCCAAGCTCGGGAGACTGCGGCGTCGCTTGAAGCAGTGGAATTGGACAGTTTTTGGAACATTTCGCAGTGCCTTACTGCAGCTCAGAGTGCGTATGCGGACGCAGAGCGAGCTTAGGATTTGGACTCTTTTGCAGAGAATAGGACCGCGATGCGCTGCTACCACGTTGAGTACCATCTCCGTCTTCTTATGGGGGAGGATTTCTGGAAGCAGAAGGTTGTCGTGTGTTGGGTTGCAGAGGGGGAACGTAATACCAAGTACTTTCAGGGGTTTGTGAGACAGAAGCGAGTTAAGTCGTATATCCATTGTATCGAGGATAACGTCTTCCCTGACCCAGAAGTCCCAAATACGGGGGTTGGTTGTGACACACTTCCAATCCCTCTTCACCTTAGATCAGGACTTGTATACGCCACCAACGCTTCTTTCTTCCCCCACCATCCCGCATTCGGTTGACCCTGTTGACCTTTGCGACCTCCCGAGTAGGGAGGTGATTAGAGAGGCTGTTTTTGGGGATTGATCCCAACAATGTCTTTGGCCCGAATGGTTTTTTCGTCTCTCTTCTTTCAGGCCTGATGGGAGATCATTGAGACTGACGTTGAGGAAGCTGTGGCGGATTACTTTTCGGGTCACCGGATGGCCGAGTCCTTACAGCAACCTCTACTGTTTAGATGCCCAAAAGACCTAGCCCGAGCTCTTGGTCCGATTATAAACCTATCAGCCTCAAAATTGAAAAAATATAAAAAATAGAGAAAAATGAGAAAACATGGTTTCTCTTATAGTTCAAGTTCAAGCAGTAGTTCTTGCAATAATATTTTTCTAATAAAAAAATACAAATTTCCCTCCATTTTGCGCACTTCCGTTAACAATTAACGGAAATTTAACGGAGATCTAACGGTCGGTTATTAACGTTGCTAACATAATGAAAGTTTGAGTGTTGACTTCGCAAATGTTTCAAAATGGGACTGGTTTCAAAATGACCTTTACTTTGGGTATCAAAACTGCAATTTACCCTTATTAAAAGGGTGCGTAAATTTTGGTTATTAGTATCATACGACACTTGATGATCACCTATAAGAAGACAAATAATACAAATCCATCTCCAATATTGGCATATGCCTCATGGGTGATAAGGGAAGAAACTCGAGCCCATTGTCCGTTTCATATGTTATTCCCTCCCACAAGTAGTTTTGATAATATATGTATGTGTAGTTTTCCATTGAACTCACTATTTTGTAGAGCCCATGCCCATCACCAAAAAGTGTAGAGGTCGTTTGACTATCAAAAAATAAAAATTAAAAAAATTAAAAAGAAAAAAAAAAAACATTCGTGTGTGTGCATAGAACTTCACGGATTGTATTACTACTAGACAACTTGTCAGTGATCATATATATGTGTGTCACTTTAAGATCCTTCATGCCAAAGATGAGGAAGAAGCGGGTTAAGTCGTATATCCATTATATCGAGGATAACGGGTCTTCCCTGACCCAGAAGTCCCAAATACGGGAGTCGGCTGTGACACACTTCCAGTCCCTCTTCACCTTAGATCGGGACTTGTATACGCCCCCAACTCTTCTTTCTTCCCTAGCATCCCGCAGTCGGTTGACCCTATTGACCTTTGCGACCTCCCGAGTATGGAGGAGATCAGAGAGGCTGTTTTTGGGATTGATCCCAACAGGGTTTGGGTCTCTGGCCCAGATGGTTTTTCGTCTCTCTTCTTTTAGACCTGCTGGGAGATCGTTGAGTGCTGGGAGATCGTTGAGACTGGCGTTGAGGAAGCTGTGGCGGATTTCTTTTCGGGTCAGATTTCTTTAATCAAAATTTACCAAGAGAATAAGTTATACTTTTACAATGTGTGTCCCATGCGATAAAATTGTGCACAAGGGTGGTAATCTCAGTAGTAAGTGACAAAAATGGAGAAGGATGTGCATTGTGACTTGATGGACCCTCGTTTGAGGAAATTGCACGAGCTAAGTTACCTT